CTGAATGCCAGACCTCTCAGGTTCCTGCAGCATCGCTCAGGGCTCATCCAGCCGGCTGTCCCCTCACGCAAGAGGCAGCTTGCAGTTCTTGCTGGGGTGTGAACTTGCCCAGGGACTCCCGCTTCAGGGGCGGGCTCTGGGCAGTAAGCTGGGGACGATGGCACACTGGGCACAGGGTCCCCTCTTGGATCCCAGCAAGCGTGAGCCACCACCCCTGAGGAGCACAATTACTGGCTCTGGAGAGGCTGGGACAAGTCAGCCGCCTGCCTCAAGGGCTGGGCACCCACTAGGGAGGCAGACGAGATACCCAGCCACGACGGATCATCAAACACGGCCTCAGGGAGGGCACAGCCATGTGCCCCAGTCGTGCCTGATGTGGGTGACACGGGTGGGAGGCATTAACAAGACCCAGAGGAAAGGCCATGGGGCCGTGTGCAGAACAAGCCAGATAATACAGGATCTCTCGGGCTAGGTGGCTGAGGGGGCAGGACACCCAGGGGATCCTATGCCACATACAGGAGCCTGGACCCTCTCCTCCCCCCGCGGGGAGGGCGCTGGGCCACGGCTGCGGGACGCCGTGCTCGGACGGGGTCACGCTGCGAGGCCAGGGCTCGGGGATTCAGGATGCATGTGGGTACAGGATCTGCACGACTGACGAGAGAAGTGGAGCCAGGGGACGCCAGGGCGAAGCTCCCACGCGGAGTCTGGGGAACCGGTGGGGACGGTCCTAGAAAGTAGCAGAATGGAGGCCAGGGGGCTGGCAGGCAGCAAGGGCTGAACCTGAGGCCCGAGGACGAAGGCAGAAGGAAGAAGAGGCAGCGCGGACCCAGCGAGAGAGACACGGGGCCAACAGGACCGGCACTCGCGGGAGACGGATGCCCAGAGGACAGCAGCGCGGAGACCGCCAGGAGCCGGAGGGGAACCTGGAGAGGGGCTCCGCAAAGAGAAAGGGCCCACGTGACACGCAGTGCCACAGAGACGGCCACGGGGATGCGGTCCCCGGGATGCGGACGGAGGGCAGAGAGAGGGCAGGGGCGGTTGGGCGTAAAGCATCCTTTGCTAAAACCTGGACAGAAAAGCGGGCAGGCAGAGGCAGGGGTGCCCACGGGGGAGGAAGGGCCTGATCGCCGGGCAGAGAGGGGCCAGCTCTTCCTCCCCAGAACCTCTGAGGAGGGGTGTAGCCCACGTGCTGAGGCCCACACCAGCCTTCTTGCCATCGCTCCCACTTGGGCCTGTGCCGCAGCCCACCTCTGTTCCCCCGTGACCGTGAGGGCGCCCCCCCCAGCGCTGTATGAGGAGGAGAGGTCCACCCACTCTGACGGCTCTAGGCCGACGGCCCCCTAGCCACACCGATGTCCACCCTTCACCCTCCCCACCCGGGCCTCGCGCGCCTCCAGAGGTCTCGGGCAGGTGCTCCCCGAACCCTCGCCGGCCCGACGCCTTCACCTGCAGCTGGCGCTTCAGGATGCGCCACTCAGCACCAAGCAGACTCACAAGTGTCGGCTGGAAGTGAAACTTTTCGAGCAGGGCCTAATAATCACACTTGCGGACTCGCGCAGAGAAGCAGCAAGGCAGGCACAGGCAAGGGCGAGTCCCATTCGGCCACTGGCTCAAAGCCACTTACCAATATACCTGAAAAGAGCCATGGGCTGAGCACACGCGGCCACAGGCGCCTTTCACGCGGCCATGGGTGCCCTGAGGCACCATCTTTCATCTGCAGACGGTGCAGGCGACCTCGTCCCAAACTCCCCGGTCGGTGCCTCCCTGCTGCAGCAGGGCCGGCTTCGACAAGCTCGCCACGTGCCGCGGGACAGCTCCCGGCGCCCGCAGTGGCACCGGCTGGCGGACACCAGCTGGTGTCTGCCAGCGCCTCCTCCCCCAGCCCCGCTTCCCAGCTCCCCAGGTCCAAACGGCAACCGCCCACCCGGGTCCCCTCAGAACGACCCCACCCGCCCGCTCAGACCACATCCCAGCTGAAGCTGGGTGCACGTGATGCTCAGGTAGGCCCCCTGCTCGCAGGCGGCGGTGCCGACGTGGGCCTAGGACAGCAGTGAGGCGCGGTAGGCGATCGCCCGGGGGCACGGGGAGGTGGTGGCCACCCCCAGGCCAAGCCTCAGTGGGCCCTGGGTCACAGCACGAGGCCCTCACCCCCACGGGCTGCCCCAGCTCATCTCATCCCCACGACGC